CATCACTTTACTTCATGTCTATGGGCCTGTACATACATGTTTTTCAGAATGAGGTGCTGCCAATGCTAGAGCAGGAGATCTCTTGCCCAAGGAATGAGGTCCTAGGTTCAAACCCCAGTCCATAGAGGAGGAGAAATTGGTGTGATCACATAGTAGTTTTCTTTTTCTAACTGGTTTCTCCTCCCCTCTTCTAAACAAGTATTTCAAGGCAGGATTTTCCTGTGTAGACCTGGCTGTCCTAGAACTCACCTTGTGGACTCTTGTAAGCTGTGATTAATATCGTAAACAACTCTATACCCAAAATACCACATGGACACTGGGATTTATTTAATTAACCTATAACACAATGCTGGGCACTAGTTAGTCCATCCTAAACTTCCAAGCTCTCATAGTTTCCTAACATTTAGATTTCCCACCGTATACTCACTTTTAGTGAAACCTTAGGTCCACTTCATTCTCCATATTGTTCCAAGACCTCTGCTCCTGCCTCTGTTCCTTCCATCTCTCTTCTGCCCCTCTTTCCTCCTCTGTCTCCGACCTTTCTCTCCTCTGACTCCTCCCTCTCTTTCTTTCTATTGCTCAACATTGTGGCTAGTTGTTTTATTTTGTCATGTTTACACAAAGTTGAGACAGGTGATGCTTAGAATAAGTATCACAATGCAACATCAAGATTGATGCCAGAGAGTGGGGGAGGGAAATCAGCATTTGAATGAACAAGAATAAGGTGTATACTGAAGAGTTTAAGTTAGCTTGGGTATAGTTAGCCTGAGTAAAGAGCCATCTCTACTGGGAGCTGAATTCAGGTACCAGGAAATATCACAAAGTGTACACTTGGCAGAAAACAAAGTTAACTCTCCTAGCAACAGCCTTCAGGAAATAATACAAAATAAATGCTTCATAGAAAATAGAGACAAACTCCCTGGCAATAATCAATGGGAATTGGCTGGAAATTGGGTGGGGAAATTCTCTCCAATGTTTCAGGTGTGGTTTAGAAAAATAGCCATTGTGATTATATGCCTTAGCCATTGTGATTGTGTGCCTCAAAAAGGGTCACCTGCCCTGCTAAACTTTACCCAATTCTGTAACACCAA